GTATACATATATTTGAATTTACGTCTTCTTAGGTATCTCATCCCAAGTTAGCTGTCTTTGCTTCCTAAAAGCTGTTAGCGTTGGTATAAGATGATGTAATGAGGTTATTTAGGCAGCCGACTGTAGGTAATATGAGGACAGACAGTATTATGTTGGAAAAGATGATATATTTCCTGGATGTTTAGTAACAACCAGAATTATATCTACTATGGTATAGTGCATGTGACGTTTAACAGAAAACCTTACCTGTTTGATTTTTTAGATGAGAGCGTCCGCAACAGCGAGTATGTTTAGTAAACAACTTGAACTTAAAGGCAATCTCGATTCTACCCATGCCACTGTTCCTTTGTCCTTTCAAACTTGATGCCCCACCTTACGGCGATCAAGTGAGTCAAACCGGTTTGAAAAGGTCTCTTCAATCGCTTTCTACGAGCCCCTTCCCACTTCATTTGGCCCAACTATTGAAATCTTAGTTTTTTCTTATCAAACACAAATAATAAATATGTAGCAGGGTGTTATAGGTTTAAAATATTGACAATGAATATTTTGATAATATATGTATAGTAGAGAACCCCAACTTTATCACTACCTGATCAAATTTGCAGCATAAAAATAACACATGTTGCAATTACAGCATATCAACCTATTTACATTTCAATGCAAAATAAGACTATAACGCATAGGTGGCTGTGAAAAATAAAAGCCATGACAATTGTTTTCATTAATCACAGCTGTCAGAATACATTTAAAATAGTTTTGGGTAGTTAAGGTTTTCAAAATGGTTAGAGGAAAGGTTATTAGTGAGAAAATTCGGATACTGAGAATTAAATTTTTTCATTCTGGGAAATCAAACTTAGAAATTGTACCTTTGTTAGACTTGTCGCGGTACAGTGTGAGAAATATTGTTAGAAGGTATAACGTAACTGGCTCAGTTAATATCAAGCCACGATATGTAAAAAAAAATAATATTACAAATGCCGACCGAAGAGCATTAAGAAGAATAATCGTGAAAAACAGGCGTGCCAATTATTTACAATTAAGTGCTCTGTGAAGTGACGCTGTTGGAAGGAGAATTTCGAGGTCCACAACTCATAGAGAGGCCCACAAACTGGGATTTAGCACGCGAAAAATCGGCTTAGATGGGCTAAAGAACATAGACAATGGACACCTCAACAATAGTGTGCAATACAGTGGAGTGATGAGACCCGATTCGAAGATTGTGTTGGTGACAGTCGCAGTAGAGTTATTTGCAAAAAAATGAAGCATTCCATGTTGACTGTCTGAAGAGAAAAATGAAATTTCCAGCATCCATTATGGTCTGGGGTAGTATGTCATCAAAAGGAGTAGGAAAACTTCATTTTAGGGATGGAAATATGGATACAAACAAATATTTGGCAATTTTAGAAGAATCGCTTTTACCACTGATGGAAGAATGTTTGACATCCGGCCAAGATTTTGTGTTTCAGCAAGATGGTGCAGCGTGCCATACCTCAAAAAAGGCTATAAAATGGATGGAAGAAAATAATGTACCACTTTGGGGTTTCTAGCAGTCCAGATCTGTCACCTAATGAAGCTTTGTGGCATGAGATGGAAAAGGTTCTACGACAACATCCTGCTCGTACAATCACCGAACTGAGACAAAAGATTCAAGAAATATGGGATTGTTTTACACCAAATGTTTGCCAAAACTTGGTTAACACTATGCCTCAAAAAATTTCAGCCGTAATAAAAAATAAAGGTGATGTTACCCAATGGTAATCTTTCAATTGCTGCTTTGTTAACTTCGCGCATTTATTCGCACATTGTTTATTTGTTCAGATGTCTTATTAGTAATAGGTCTAAGTGATTTCAAATATGTCTTTTTTTACGACTAGAGTGTATCTAAAATGTTTTTGAGAAAATAAATTGTTTTAGAAGTATAATAGTTTCGACATGTTTAGTCATAAAGGCATATTTTGGTACAAATCTTGAAGTGGGCCGCGGCCTCGTGGTCACATACCACGGCACCACCCTGCGCAGACAGTAACTTGTGTACGACTTTTCGGATGAGCGCATCGGCAACAACCACTACGTTTAATAAACAATAAACAATTCCATGGAAACTTGGATGTCTTCACTTTAAAGTTCAAACACGACTTCCTCATGATATGTCTACCTTCATACAAAATTTCGTTCGAACGAAAATGTTTTTACTCGCTAGTCTGCTTTGTCAATGAGTATATATCACATTAATGAATCCTTACATTTTGTTAAGCTTGCGAGATATAGCCACAGATGTACCCACCATGGGTAAAATTCAAAATATGTAATCAATATTACAATTTTGCAGCATAGATATAGTAAAAAATCTGTGATTCGTAAAGAATCGTCCGATTTTCAGATGCTCATGCATGGAACAGTGCAAGTACAAAATTTTATGTCAATACAACCTTTACACCTTGGGCTATTCCTTTTTCGTTAGCTGATATTATCTGCTTGCTAGTAAAGCACGTATAAGGATGAGGTAAATCACAAGCATCCCCTATTATTTACTGTTTTGTTATCCTTTCATCGTGTTCCTTAAAGATGGTAGCCCAAATATGTCTGACGCACTCTATTATTTGTTCCGAAAATCCGGTTATAACACAGCGAGTCCTTTCTCACATTTATCTTTTTGCAGGTAGTATTTTTGTTGTATCTGCGGCTGATCTATTGTAGCCAATGGCGTGACAAAGGGTTGAGATTTTGATACCCCACTTTCCATCTAGCAATTTTCTTTTTACCTAGAGGAAAGAAAATAGGGCAGATAGGGGAATATAGGCGTGGTTGCTATGATGAAATCTGTGTCATGCGGGTCCGAATGAGGCCTAGCAAAGTTGCAAATATTTCGCTGACATTGTGTATACAGATCTGTGGCCAAGGGGCATCCTAATAAACCATTTTCGGAACCTACAGCGCCAAAATATGGTAAAGGAAAACCTAAACAGCAGGAAGTAAAGATTCTGCATATAAATGTGAGATCCCTAAGAAGAAAAATAGATGAGTGGGAAGCCTTTCTTGTTGATGAGGACATTGATGTACTGTGCATGACAGAACATTGGTTGACCAAAGAAGAAATGGAAGTTGTCCATTTGCAGGGATACATGATGAGAGGGTCTTCTGAACGGAAGGACTTCACAGGTGGAGGAACTGCAATTTTTACCAAAAATAAATTTAATTCATGTGTTATAAGTATTAATCCTGCCTTTTATATTGAGAAATGTATTGAGTACTGTGTGGTTTATTGTCAGAGTCTGAATGTTTATGTTTTAACTATTTACAGATCTCCTTCAGGGAATTTTGATACCTTCTTGGAATTAATAAGGGGAATATTAACACAATTGAGTACGAATAGGCAAATTATTCTTGCTGGGGATTTCAATGTAAGTTTCAACACATTAGATGTTAATACAAGTAAATTGTGTGACCTTCCCGCTAGCTTTGGCTTAGAAAGAACAATCTTTGAACCAACTCGTGGGGACTCCTGTCTTGACAATGTTTTCCTTAGTAGTGCGATGGAGCTGTGTGGCTCTCAGGTATGTGATATTGGAATATCAGATCATAAAGGTCAGCTGGTTAAATTTCTTGGTTGTGAAACCACAGGTTTTACTCAAAATAAAAAATGTATAGACCAGTAACACAAAGAGGTTTGTTTATGTTACACAGTAGGTTGTCGGAGATATCTTGGGATTTCATTACTGTTGATAGTACCAGCGGTGAACAAAAGTTTAGCCACTTCATGGATATTCTTCAAGAAGCCTATACATACTCCTTTCCAAAGAAAACTTATGTGGTAATATCCGACCAGGGCAATATTTCCTGGTTTAATACCGAACTACGGGCAACGAGGGAACATTTGAGGTTTTTGAGAGAGCTGAAAGGGCAGTATGGTTTTGTGAGTGACCAGTATTATAAAAACTACAAAAATCTATATAGAAATAAAATAAGAAAAGCTAAGATAAATGCTAATGACAACCTTGTAAAGAGCTGAAGTAATCCTGCTAAAACCGTGGGGATATCATTAACAAAAAAAGAGATAAGATTAATAAGGTAATATAGTGAACCACATCCCTGATGTACATTTAGATCCTGTTAATAATATTGATTTCCTGGTACCGCCACCTCTGTTTTCTTTTTCTGAAGTCACATTTAACGAGGTTCGCGATGTAATAGATAATCTCAAAAATAAAAAAAGTAAAGATATTTTTGGTTTCAATTTAAAAATTGTAAAATGTATAAAGAACATAATTTTGGTCCCTCTAACACGACTGATTAATATTTGTCTTAGAGAAAATATTTTTCCAACTGTTCTAAAGAGAGCTAGTGTCACACCTATTTTTAAGAACCGCAATGTTGATTCACCAGAGAACTACAGACCTATATCCCTTCTTCCAGTTATCTCTAAGATCTTTGAAAAATGTATGGCTTTGAGACTGGTAACCTTTTTTGAGCCAAATGAATTGTTTTCACAATATCAGTTTGGTTTTCGCCAATGTAAGAGCACTGTTATGGGTGTACTTAACCTGATTTCTTCTATAATTGATGCTTTCCATTGAGGAGGGTATAACACGGTTCTTTTCTGCGATCTTAGTAAGGCATTTGATTGTGTGAGCCATGACATCCTTTTAAAAAAACTACATGCTTACAACTTTAGTTATGATTCCGTTAAACTAATTGAGTCTTACCTTAGTAATAGAACTCAGGTGGTGAGATGTGATGGAGTGACATCAGCGGAGCGAAGTGTTAATATTGGCGTCCCACAGGGCTCCATCTTGGGCCCAATTCTTTTTTTAATTTACATAAATGATTTACCTCTCAATAACAATATGACAAACTTTACTCTCTTCGCGGATGATACGACCGTCTCTCACACCGCTAACAGTTTTGAGCGCTCAATGGCACAGTCTCTGGCTGCGCAGGATGAGGCTGAGCTGTGGTTTTGCTCCAATAAGCTGTTGCTAAATAAAGATAAGGCAAAGAGAATGGTGTTCTCCATGCGAAGCCTGCCTGGAGACAGTGATTTGGTTGGTGAAGCCAAGTTTCTGGGGGTTACTTTGGATCCAAGATTGCAATGGGGCCTTCACATTGACAGTGTTGCTGGAAAGGCCACCAAAGGTATATATGTGCTACGGAGTCTGTCTTCTTGTGTTTCTGTAGCCATATTGAGAATGGCTTATTTTGCCATTTGCCATTCACATATATCCTACGCCATTTTGGCTTGGGGGCATTCTTCAGGGGTCCATAGACTGTTCACCTTGCAAAGAAGAGCAGTTAGGGTTGTGAGCCGTTTGGGCTACAGGGACGATTGCAGAGATACCTTTGTCAAGTTGGGAATCCTTACTGTGCCTTGTTTATATATTTTTGAAAATCTACTATTCGTTAAAAGAAACTCTAACTATGTAACTCATGGGGACGTCCATGAGCACAATACTAGGCATAAGAACAATCTAGTATCTCCTTATTGGCGACTGATAAGGTGTCAAGATGGACCTGGTTATTGGGCGGTCAAATTTTTTAATGTACTTCCAGACGGCTTAAAATCGCTTAAGTTCAAATCAAGAAAATTCTTATTAATAACTCATTTTACACGTTTGAAGAGTTTTTATGACATAAATTTTAACTATAAATCTCAATATGTTATGTTAGCGTTATATCTTTATGAGTGCTGGTGTACTTGTTTGTAATTTTTTATGATCATTAGCACTCCCTTTGTTTTAATTCTAATGCAATTCTCATTTGATCTACTGACGTATGTAAACATATTTTATGTATTGTGACATGAATAAAGAATTGAATTGAATTGAATTGAAAAGAGAATTGTCGGCTTGAAATTTAAATCGTTAATGCCATTTTTAATTTTATTTTTTTTGCGAAGAAAGTACATTTTGTTTGACCACCCTGTATTGATTATGCATGAAAATCAAAAAACGAATGGATTAAGCTAAATTTGAGTATTATAAAATATTTTTAACACAAAATTCACTACTCCCACTATCAACATAGCAGGTCCACAGACTATCTGATTTTGATTTTTTTTAGAAAAAAATACCCATTAGCTCAACAAGTAATTATCAAAACCCATAAATATGTCATATAAATCTCCTTCCATTGAAAGGTTATATCCAAATATGTAATAAAAAGTGGGGCATTCCATTTAAAAAAAAGCAACTTTGATATGTGGCTTAAAATTGTGGCGCCCCGTATATATTTTGAATATTTCAGAAACATGCCTCCAGATACTATGTATTATAATCCATAAATAGTTTTCTTTGAATTTTTGTTTAGGAGCAATACTCTGTCCTCGCATGGTTGGGACACCCTGTATACTCTGAGAAGCTTAGTGTCTCATAGATGGCGCTATCGCAACCTGCTAGTGTATGGTTATATAAACACTAAACTTTTCATGATGCAGCTGTGAGAAATTCTCATATATGACGCAACTGTATCTCATTTTATTTAGAATAATTTTTTTGTCTCTACGGCACAAGTTTGATTATCTTTAGATAAAATCCATTAAGCAATGCCTAGATACATAAATAACTACTGAAATGCGCACTTACACCCCGAATTCTCGAACAGTGTTCGATCATTTTTTGTCCCGACACGGTTATGCCACCCTGTATAACCTCTTGCCATAGATTGTAACAGCAGTTTTTTGTTTCAGAGAACAAAGGAAGCGAATCCAGAAAGATGGTGGACATAACACGAGATAAACCAATAAAAGTTGCCGTCAGGGTTGTCGTGCCTGTCAGAGATCACCCGAAAGTAAGTTAACGGTTTATTTGATTTCGTAGTTGTTGTAGGTTTTTTCCTCCTTCGTTCGCACGATGGTGGTGGATTTGATCAGGAAACTAGCTTAACCGGCCGTTCCGGAAGGGTCACTGATTGCATTTTCTTGACCATTATTAATGGACCGGCAAGTTTGTTTGCTACGACATTTTCTCTATAATTTGATGAATTTCGGTTTCCGTCAATCTTCTACATCCGTTTTTTATACAGGGTGGCGCATCGAAAACGAAACTGACGCATTTACTAGCAGCTCAGTTTTTTTTTTTAAAATCGCTCAGACCCGTCGATTTTGTTTTCGAGGGGGACACAAGTTTGGCAAAAAATCACGTTATCACGTGCAGCCTCCTGGGCGGGGGTGACACCAACCCTAAAATCTTAAATGGAAAGGGGGGTCGAGTGATACCTTATTTTAAAGGCCTCTCAATTCCCTTTATAATGATGTAAAATATATGAGCTTCAGTTCAGTAGTTTTGAAGATTTATTGATTTAAAGCTTAAAGTTAACTTTAATAGGTGCATCAGATTAGTTTGTACTACTTTCAGAAGAAATTTGACTAAAAGAATTTACTTAAAAAATAAATGCTTTTCCTCACTACGGCCCATGGTTTGTTTATCATTTTGTTGTTGAAAATAGCTATTGGAGCGTTTTTTTTTTTGTGGCAAAAAAGTCATTTCTTGAAGAAAGACAAGGAAATCTCTCGTACTTATTTTAAATAGGAATTTAGTACATAGTTTGCGATTGATTTGACCAAACTTTGTTGACAAAATAACTTGTAACGCTTTATTACATAAATTAACCATTGTATATAGAACAGCAGAAATATTTAATGAGCGACGTAAGAACAGTAACATGCTTCGAAAATATGTTCTAGAACTTGTAGCTAAATTTCGGGAAACTGGGTCAGTCGCCAATAAAAAACGCAACTTTGAAAATCCCATAAGGAACGAAGCAATAGTAGTGGGGGTTTTAGGACAAGTTTATGTAGATCCTACGTTAAGTACCTGCAAATTGGAGACTGTGTGTGGTGTTAGTCGACGTACTGTCCAACGGATTCTAAAGGCCCATATTTTTCATCCATATAAAATTCACCTGGTACAAGAACTTAATGAAGACGATTTTGATCGGCGATTACAATTTTGTGAAGATATGAGTGAACGAATTATAAACGATAAACATTTTCTATTCAACACTTGCTTTTCCGACGAATGTTCCATTTTCTTAAATGGCGTAGTAAATCGTCATAGCTGCCGATATTGGTCCGATTCTAATCCCAAAATTTGTCATGAGGTTCATACACAGCAGCCACAAAAATTAAATGTTTGGGATGGTATTTTTGACGATCATTTAGTTGGTCCTTTTTTCTTACCTGGAAATTTGACCGGTGAAATGTATTTGAAATTACTGGAAGACGCCATACATCCTGCATTAACAGCCGTAATTGAAAATCAGAATGATCGGCGGTACATTGCGAATAGGTTGATGTTCCAACAGGATGGTGCCCCACCACATTAGGCATTACGTGATCGACAATATTTAGATCAGACGTTTCCAGACCGATCGATTGGTAGAAGAGGTGCCATTGAATGGCCTCCAAGATCGCCAGATTTATCACCTTTTGACTTGCGACAAAGAATTGTAAATGAGTGCCTTCAAATTACTCCTCAAATATTGCAAAATATGGGGCAAAATCTTTATTATTGCATGGAGAGTCATGGTGGCCATTTTCAACATTTACTTGCCTGAAGGGTCAGTTCATTCTTCATTTTTAAATTACTTTGCTGCCAAATGTATTGATCTCCACTAATGATGATGTATTAGTTTTATTTAAGCTTTAAATCAATAAATCTTCAAAACTACTGAATTGAAGTACATTAATTTTATATCATTATAAAGGGAATTGAAAGACCTTTAAAATAAGGTATCACTCGTCCCCCTTTCCATTTAAATTTTGTGGGTGGTGTCACCCCCGCCCCCCCCGCCGATTTTTTGCCAAACTTGTATCAAAAAACAAAATCGACGGGTCTGAGCGTTTTTCAAAAAAAAACCTGAGCTGCCAGTAAATGCGTCTGTTTCGTTTTCGATGCGCCACCCTGTATAACTCCTGAAATAAAATAAGAATCTGCCTGCATAACTAGTAAGCAAGTTTTTCGGGCTGTCTAAACTAAGGAACTGGCGTTAAGTAGGTTGACTCAAATTGACTTTAACAACGTGAGGATGGACTGGATAGTGTTGCAGGGAAACATCTGTATTGAGTTATTTCACCCATCGCGGGCATGTAAAAAGAAATCGTTTTGACATTCGATACAAACAACTACATAAATCTCTTACTTGAGTAGTTTTGTTTACCTATATTCAGCTTGGTCGAGGAAATATCTTCACATCCACTCTGTACATTATTCTGATTCGGTTGTTTGTACAGTCTTGTGTAATTAAAATAAGACAGCGTCATAAACCTCATATCCTTAATAGAATATATAAATTAGTTGCTATACTGTCGTTCGTTGTGTCAAAGAATAAGCCTACACCATACTGATGAGTTACCAAAAAGCACGAAACAGCTGTCCATAGCTGGATGTCGGACAGATAAAAGCAGCATGCTTAAGTTAGATCCTCTAAGAAAAAGATTAGCATCACGTAGCATCATTAGTTTCGTGAAAATAAAGTAAACACCACAACATGATATTTATCAACAACAAAAGGAAAAACATCAAACATAGCAAAAATAGCTCAGACGTTTACTAGAAATACCTTTCTCCTTTCCACCAATCTGTGACTACCTACATCCCGAGACATTTATAAGTAGCAATCTGAATGATAAATATCAAAAGCCCCGTTAGTACAGCTGTCACCAACTTGTCAGTGATAGGGTCCAAGATCCTGCCTCACAAATTACGTTCATTCTGCTACGCTATTTAGACAGAATTCACATAGCCAGATTCCAGACACAGTCGCCAACAAGTCACCGACCACTGTACGAACAAACCATAAGATGTGCTTAACGTTGGATTATTGTTTGTTTTATTATGTATTGTATCATCACCTTTTATAACTTAAAGGATGAGTTTATTATAATTTCCTTTTACTTTCCGCGCTTACTGGTGGGGAAGTAATGGAATTGCGAAATTTTTTGAAAATGAGTCATGCTTTTTGGATGGCATGTACATGACGAAAAACCACGTCACTCATTTCCGTCGCTTTATCTGTCTGCCTGTCTGTCGGTCTGTTCGCTAATCTTATAACCGCATATAATTTGGCCGCTCGGGTTTTGATGAAATTTTTACACAGTATTACTACTGTGCCAAGGAAGGAAAACCTTTGTAGTTTTTTGAAATCGGTCGAGCCGCGGCTGAAAATTAGGCCAAAAACGAAAAAACAACGCTCAAACTTTGTTTTTTGAAGTATCAGACGATCCTGTAATCAGGAAAAAATTTTGCATGAGTTAAAAATTTGGGGTTAGGTAATTCTACGCACATAATAGTCATATTCCACTCATGATAGACGACTCCGTACATTTACCAGTCTCGTGACGATGCGTGGGGTGTCGTTTCCGATGGACAAGTGTCTTGGTCGGGGGTCGTATGTCACAGTCATCGGCAATCGTTTGCTCACTACTCTGGACTGCGCGCACTGTGCATGGTGATGGCCAATATCGTCAGGATAGGTCATCGCAACGATCATGTGCAATTACGACAATTTTTCTCAGGGAGAGGAGGAAGGTAATTTATTTTATTTGTTATACATGTTCGTAGGTAACATTTTTCTCAGAAGGTCTAACTTGTGCTTGAAATAATCTTTTACGAACTGATGACAACGTAGCGTGGGAAGTAGAGAGTCAACTTACTTGACGGCATTCTTTTCTGATAAAACAAAAAATTTTTCATTCGTTTTGAACATCTCTTTATCCTTGTTTTATTTGTCTTTTAATGTGTTTATAACAGTGTATGTTGGTAATTGCCATGTTGTTACATTTAATACAACGTCTTACCTAAAATAAGTATCTTTTAGATTTTATTATCTAAATTTTTAATCAATGTATATGTAATACTAGTGTTTTATTTATGTGCAAAGCCCTAAAGTAGGAAATTAATTATTCCGACACGTCGGCAACTTTGTAACGTCAATCTGCGTTTCTTTGAACCCCAAATCCAGTTATTTACAAGGACCCTCTAGAGGTTATTTCAAGGTTCGTTAAGGTTGTTTCGCAAGAATCCATTTAAGAATATAGCGTCTGTTTTAGCGGACAAGATCATCTAGAGGCTGCTTCAGGGTCAAATTAAAGTTATTGCAAACTCAAAGTGAATGTGATTGCAAGACAAGACAAACGCTAGATCTGAATTTAGCAGCCAAAAAGAACAATATAGTTTACATAAAATTTTAGTCATTTTTTTCTTGAAATTACCTTGACACCTGACGTGATAGAGGTCAACAGATTCTGGTAATAGATGGCACTGTGTGTTCAGATATATTTTTTTCTTAGAATTACCTATGTTAAGATCAAGCCAAATAGGTATTATAATCTTGTTCATGCACGTAAAGCTGGCGACAAGCTTTTATATTATTATAAAAATGTATCATGTAATAAACTGATGGGTTTTATTTAATTTAAGGTATATCTTATTCTTTTTATCAAACTATATTCAGCAGTAGATGGCCGTCGAGCTATTTTCTATCAAGGCCCTATTTACCAGCGATGTCATAGTAGCTGTGAAAATATAAACTTTAGGCCACCCAATAACCTTTCTAACACCCCCGCAAAACACAAAAGAACGACCAACAAGCAGGCAGCCGCACATCGCTGATCCCGCTTGCAATAGTATCCTGGCATTGCTTAACCCTGGCACGTCTTCAAGCAGACCTTGTATTGACAGATGAACTCGACTGAGATCCACGTCTGCCCCCCTGGGCGGTGACGTGAAGACACGTGACAGTTTTAAAAGGGGCTACTGAGCGATTGTAATGCAGTCGGGGTGCCTGGCGGGCGAACTGGCACATGTCGCAGGTTAATCGAAACAGACGCGTCGTATTTCAATTTTTAGCACAATTTTCCAGGCGTATGGCTGCAGACTTTCAAACAGATATTACTTTGAATGGGAGTAGATGTGGATTTTTCGCGCGGGGAAGGCCACGTAGAGCCGGATCTTTTATCTGGTTCAATTTGCCGTATATAATGTTTTATCGTTAAAAGAGTCGAAGTGAATGTCCTGTAAGAAACTATTTTGTGCGCTACTTTTCTGATGTACGACGAGCGGAAGTGATTCAAGGTTGAAAAATAAAGGAGCACTTCGCAATCTGTAAGGACATCAACTTTTCAGACCCTACCTCAAACATTCTTGGTAATACATAAGGGTCCGTTCAAGGATTACGTAAGCAGATTTATTACAATTATTTACCCCCTCCCCCCGTGATTACGTAAACATTTGTCAATTAATGTATTGTTTTTTTTAATATTATACTTATAACGTTATAATTATAATTTGAAAAATAAGAAAATAGATATAGGATAGAGATTATATTTTACTGATACGGTATTCAACGGACAAAAATATTATATCTTACTAACATAACAAACTTATTTTAAATTTTTGGTACATATATTAAATTCAAATTAATAGTCTTCAGTCCATGAAACCCGAATCCATGATTCTAAGTTTTCGATGACATTAGATTGCTTCGATTGCTGCTTAGTGTTGTGAGTTTGCTCGCTTTCATCGGATTTTGGAATGTCTACGTCGTTCTCATCGAACTATTCAACATCATGGTGCTCTAAATTTTGAATAATACACATCAGTTCATTAGCACGACGAGCAGCGACTCTCACAGGTCTAACTTTCCTATCAGTGTGCGTGTTTACCTTTTTATGGATATTTTCGATGTGACGATTTAGTGACTTGACGGAAGCATGATAAAGACTACACGTTTTGCATGTTCGACTTGATAGCCTCAATTTTACCGGACAAAAATAATCGTAGGAAATCTTTGAGTGAAGCACTTAAGCGTAGAGCTTAATAGACTGGAAGATTAAGAAATTGTCCTCCTTCATCCAAAACGAAGTCATCAACTGTTTGTTTTACTTTTTCAGGTGGTGGAAGAAACCTATTGTCTAGTAATGTAAATAGGCCACTTCTTGGACGACAGCATTCTGTATTTCTACATTTTACAATTTGAAGCAAGTATTGGCTCTCACGTACATGTTCTGAATACCATTTAATGTCTGGAAAATCAGGAAGATCTTGTTCACCTGCCCCAACATATTTTGCATTAACATTATAGCCATCAATTTTCATTGAACGCCATACTTCAGCTAATACATTTCCTGTAAATTCGAAATTAGATCTTTCTAAATGTTTATCAATTGTAACGCCACGTTCTTCCATATGAGACCCAAAATGGTCATGAGGCAATATTAAACCAGCCATTTCCCGACTAAGAGGAGCCATTCTGCGTTCTACTCTGTTATACGCACTTCTTCCAGGAGCATTGGTAGCTAAAAACAATGCATCCTATGACTTTTTGATAACGTAGATTTTCATCTGGCACTCCATCAACCGTCATGATCACCACTGGTTTTACTAGTCCATGGTCAGTTTTAGCATAAATATTAGCAGTAGATGAACTATGCTTTCCACTTCGAATAGCGATGTATGTTGGTCCAGAATATCCAACGGCTTGCGGTTGTCCTAGCATATTGGAAGTATTTTGATACCAGCATAAACAGATGGTATTAATTTATGACGCTCAGCGATTATCCAATCGTGATCAGGCAATTTGATTATATATTCCATGTGCATTAGAAGAGGTGCTTGCTTATTTGCCGCAGTTACGCCAATAGGGACTCGAGCTTTATCATCTTGAGATATGAAAAATACTTGATCTGGTCCAAGTATGGATGCTATGTTCTCTAAATAATGGATTCATGTTTCAGCGAATTTGCTATCTAAGTGGCTCTTGTGGTGATCAGTTTGAGCCCGAATGAGCTTAACAGGGACTGTCGATACATGTCTTTATCCCTCTGCAGAATTAGATTTTCTGGGAATCAAACGAAGATATGTCCCACTGCGACTAATGTCAAATCCTATTTCACGTAATTCTTGTGTGAGTTCATCAAGAGTTTTTACGCTGCGAATTGATTCCGTTCGTCTTCTATCATCTGCTGCACTCCCAAATAAAGCTATATCCGCGACTGTTTTCAATAGTGAATGTTGATTGCTTTCAAGATTAGGATGTCCCACTGAATCCCTCAGAGATAGTCTTTTTTTTATTTCTGGATTTTCATGACAAATATCTTCTAACTTTCTTTTCATACCATCTCTGTGTTTCTTCTGTCGGATTTTGCTTGTAATTTGTAATTTCGTTAACTAACTTTAGTACATTTTGTACTTTCGTACTTGTATGAGATTTTTTAAAACTTTCAAACAATTTTTAGTATAACTTGGATGTGTCTATGTGAAACGACATCTTATTTAAACAGTAAACTTTGGCTAATGGAATCAATGGTAACACAAATGTTAACTTGCTTTACTATGCTTACACTACGTCTACTCGCTATAGTATCCAAACGAAACAATACACTGATAGAGGAAATTTAGACAAGTGAACACCGCGCGGTAATTCCCCTACTCGGTTCCTAAGCGAGTAGGGGAATTACCGCGTGCTGTTCACTAAACGTATGCATTATTTGCGGGAATCCCCTAAAATGCGTTTCGTTTTCAAGCAAAGACAATATGAGGGTTGTCATTCGTGTAAAAAAGTAAATAACTACCGATGACGTAATCATCATCTAGACTCCCCTACCCCCCATGTCATCCAAAATAAGCAAAGCAACTTTTTGTAATTAAAAATCATTTTCTACTTTTTAATTCGGTTAGCTATAAAAGACGTTTTTTAGTTTTTTGTAACTATTATTTATTATTTTGTTTCTTATAATTACCATCATACAATTGATACATGGACAGCCATGTCTACCTATCTAACTTTCATGCTCTCCAAAAAATCTCTAAAAATTGTTCTGCCTTCCCAACTCTCGATTTTACCAGAACATTATCTCTCTTTGCATGTAAATATTTGAATGATGTTGAGTAACCTCCATCAGTGGCTTTTCGATCAACGAACTCCATCGGATGCATCACAGGAATGTTTTTTCTGCTGTACACACAATTACAGCCAGTGTTGATGGTGCACTCCGCACTGGAGAGGCCCGCTCTCGACATGGAATCACATCAGCTAATTGACTTACATGCGGTGCATTCGACACTGCAGATGCAGAGGTAACACTTGTCCATCTAATTATAGGGCTGGTTTGGTAAAACTATTGCGAACATCGGTCATCGTCAGACTTTAACTGTCATAGCAAGGGAAAGTTTTCAATGTAACAACTTACTAGCACATGTGTCCGTAACTTTTTTAACCCTTTATTTGACAATGTTGCATTTTATATTATATTATATGGTCTCCGTTGTACAGATATGCGATTAAACGGCCAATGATGCTTACAGGCAACGTCCGTTCGCATCAAAGCGGCGATGTTACCATGCTACACGCGGTTGTTATGACAGTGTTGTGAAGTATTGTAGGTTATGTGTGTACTATCTCGTTCTATATTAGTGAATTGTATATAAAAAATATATTCGCTGCTGTATTTCATATATTTTGAAGGTAAATATACGTTAGAATTTGTGTATAACTATTCTTAATTTTTACGATTTTACAGGGTGAAATCATTTCGCATATTTGGTGTTGCTTACAATCATCATTGCCAGGACAGAAAATAATTATAGAAAATAATGGATGTAACAACTTTTTACGGGAAACGTAAAAATCAGGTAGTTATCCTGCCTCCCGAGGATCCCACCCTATCCGATGCTGATTTTTCTGACCTCGACGATGATAATGACCTCACCACTACTGCCGCTGAAACCAGTTTGTCTGAAAATACGGGTGATGTTGGAAGGAATCACTTACTTCCTTCTGAAGTTTTAGAAGAGGATAGTGATGGATTTGATGATGAAGATTTGATTCCATTAGCCCAACTTCGTTCACAGGTTTTGTTCAGAGCAAACGCATTTCAGATGCATGCATCCCATTGGAAAAAACAAGATATTGTTGTAACGGACAATAACAATGCCGATAATGTCCTTGAAAGTGATGATACTGAAACTGAGACTCCACTTACGTACTTTTATAAGTTTTTACGCCAGAAATGATTACCCTGATAAGTTCACAAAATAATCTATATTCTATACAGGTAACTGGGAAATCCATAAATACAAAGGATAAAGAAATTCAACAATTTATAGGAATACTAGACTTTATGGGCGTAATAGAGTTTCCATCATATACTGATTACTGGCGTCAACAATATAGATATGATAAAATTGCTGATGTAATGAGCCTAAAAAGATTTCAAAAACTGAGACGATTTTTACATTTTGCAGGCAATCACGAAAATCAAAAAGCGTCAACTGCTACTGATAGGCTCTACAAAATTCGTCCTGAAACGTTACTGAACATTGTGCGATTCCAATGCAGAAATTTAGAACAGGAATCTCATCATTCTATAGATGAAATGATGATCCCATATAAGGGTACAAGAGCCGGAAATTTACGTCAATACATACAAAACAAGCCTCATAAATGGAGTTATCAGTTTTTTATGCACTGTGGAGTATCAGGAATCATTTATGACTTTGTTCACTACACAGGAAAAGGTATGATTACCGATCTAAATGAAGAGGAACAAAAATTTGGTATTGGTGGACATGTGGTGATTTTACTCTGCAAGACAATAGTGTTTTTCGATAACTTTTTTTGTACATTCGAGCTAATTGCGTATCTGTGAAAGAGAAAATGCAAGTAAATTCACTTGGTACCTTGCGAAAAATAGGCTAAAAAATTGTCCCTTCAAAGATGATCGCAAGTTACAAAAGGAGGGAAGAGGAAGATATGACTTTTGATATGATGAGGACAACAAACTTATAGCAGTAAAATGGGTAGATAACAAAGTTGTTACTTTGGCAAGTTCCTTTGTCAAAGTACAACCCCTAGGCTCTGTGAATAGATGGAACGTCGCCGAGAAAAGAAAAGTAGATGTGCCTTGCCCAAAAATAGTTCAACAATATAATAAGCACATGGGGGGTGTCGATTTAGCTGGTATGCTTATTGAGTTGTACAGAGTTCCGCTAAAATCTAGAAGATGGTATCTCAGGATATTTGGCTGGTTGATTGATCTTGCTGTCGTAAATGGATGGTTGGTTTACAGACGAGAAAGTGGGAAGAATAAGCCATGCCTAAAAGTGTTTAATACCATGATAGCCGAAGGTCTACTGGCCCAGAAAAAGAATAGGGGCAGACCATCTTCCATAGAAAACCTCCCATCCAAGAAAAAAGCTGTCATTCCTAGACCAGTAGAAGATGTTAAATACGACGAAATTGGCCATTTTCCGATTTATTCAAATAAAGGGAGGTGTAGACATTGCAAAGATGGTTACTCAACAGTACACTGCCAGAAGTGCAAATTAGTTCTGTGCTTTGTGCCCAAAAGGAACTGTTTTTATTCATTTCACAATAAATAAAATTTGTTATTTTTCTCTATTATAACAGGCAACGTTGCTTTCAAGCAACATTGTTTTTTTTGTCAAAAAAAGTAAAAAATAAATATTTTTCAGTTCAAAAGTATTAGAGTAAACATTTTGTGTTAGTTTATAATGAAAAAACATTTATTTGTATCTTTTTCATAGCCTTGCCAAATAAAGGGTTAAGACAGGCCAGCTCCCACACAGAATTGCTCGATAAATTCTTTTACAGCTTTTCTCTCCCGAAGTGTAAGATTCTATAAAAGCGGTATACTCACTCAGGCCCTCAGTCGTCCACTTTGCGTCCCACTACAAAAGCGCATTTCGTCATGGTGAGTAGCGTCCCGCTAAAATTCGTACCAAGGGTAATTGTCTCAACCTTTTATCTTCCTTCGCGCTTGTATGTATGTAACCTACCAAGTATGGTTGACAATTGCTTTGAAATAAACTAAGTTAAGCCTAAAATGCCCTTTACGGTCTTGAAGGGTAACTCGAAAACGGACAAGTTTAGAGAAAAATTACCTTTGGCCGGAACGAAAAAAGTCTTTTATGATTTGTTTAAACAAGCCACCTAGCAAAAAATCAAGATGTCGAGTTCCACGATTGCAAGGCTTTGACCACAATTTCGTTTCCCATTTGGTGAATGGGCGCTGGCAAACTTGGAGGAAGATCCACATTTTGATCGAAAAATTGTGTTCAGGGACGAAGCTCATTTCTGGTTGAATGGGTACGTTAACAAGCAAAATTGCCGCATCTGGAGTGAAGACCAGCCAGAAGCATTGCAAGAGCTACCAATGCATCCCGAAAAAATCACTGTTTGGTGTGGATTATGGGCCGGTGGCATCATCGGGCCGTACTTCTTCAAAGACGACAATGGCCGGAACGTAACTGTGAATGGCGAGCGCTACCGTGCGATGATAACAAACTTTTTTTTGCCCAAAATGGAAGAGCTGGACTTGGCTGACATGTGGTTTCAACAAGACGGTGCCACATGCCACACCGCACACGACACAATGGCCCTATTGAGAAGGCGAGTTCGGTGAACAGTTTATCTCACGTTTGGGGCCCGTCAATTGGCCTCTTAAAAAGTCACCCGTTATATACGAGTATATTGTTTTTATTGTTTATTGTGTGGATAAACATTTTTGTTAAGTGATAGAATAGCTTAAACATCGCCCAATAAGGACGTTTTATTATTATTATTATTATTATCTTATATCCCAGCATCTGTTGAAAAATGCTCACAGATATCGTGGAAGTCACCAATTGATCAGCTTACCAACGAATTCCCTTAAATTTTCTTCTGAAGCTAGAAATCACACTATACAGTACCTGTAAATTATACGATAATTTTGATTGAGAAAGCTTGCGATCACTTGCAGTAAACTAAAATTAATCCTCAGGACGAATCAGTAAATGATTTCTTTATATCAAAGTAGCAGCGTAGACAGAAGCCTAAATACCAGAAACTTTGTTAATTCGATTTTTGAACTGGATAAGGTTAGTAGACATCGGAAAAGCCTCCTTTGGTAGATTGTTCCACAATCTCGATATCCTAGGAGAATAAGGAGCAGTCGTATCAGCCATTTTTGGATTTACGGAGTTCTATACGGTTAGGATGAAAGGCTGAAGTCAGGCGGGTCTGTCTAGCAGGCCTATGGAGGAAAGCTCTGAGGATAAAAGCCCGTTGACGTAGTGGCAGTTAGATCAACGACTGTTCGTCAGAGAAAACTTGTCTTCGACCATCTGCTTGGCAAAATTATCATCCATGAGCCTCTCTGGCAGTCAAAATATCTTGTACATTCGAGTAGATGCTTAGAGTGTCCTCGTTAAAGCAAAACGTTCTCGTATTCTCTCTTTTCTACCCGCTTTCAGAGGAGAAACTGAACAGTATATTAATCTATCTGCACTGCTCCGCTGCAAATCCAGGCCCAAATGATTGAAGTCAGTCAGAGATATAGTGCTTGCTTTTCATCATTTCTAGCTCCTGCACCATTCTTGTTTCGCCAGCTTGTTTAAGTGGAAACGTACCTGGTCGACTACGTGTGTTAGAATATGTTGCAGACTCTACGTATCTTCTATTTTTTGCGGATGTGTCGGCATGCTACACAGCAAATTTGCGGGCAAGCATTTTAATGTACAAAATGAATTTCTTTGTTCACTTTATTTTCCCAAATATACCAGTTATTTAAAATTCGACGAACGGTAAAAAATAAACTGGCTTTTCTAACGAACGTTTTAATGTATCCTTGTCATTATTTGTAGTGGGATTTCAAAACTAATTTAAGGTTTTCTCCTCTACAGGATGGTATGGTTAGAATTTCAATATGACGTTTTTTCTTTGTCTTCCATCAGCCACTTTATTTGTTTTTTGCATAAATGACCAGAGTTTTCAGTTCTGATTCCAAAAATATATTATACGTGGACATTAACAAGCCTTTGTTATTAAGAAAATAAGTTCGTAGCTGGCCTTTTAATTATCAAAGAGTCATTTGTTTCAAATACCGGATTTATTGGAAAATCGTTGTTTATTTCCTGGTTGTATTTCTAAATGGGATTATAAAATAAATCATAGCATTGCCACTTTTTCTCATCTAGAAAAGGGCGTAGTCAAATTCTCAATTAGACGTTTCTGCTTTGGATCTCCACCCCCAACTTTCTTTATGGTCTCCCTATTGGAAGTTTGCGCTATCGCATTCTGTATTTAGTTATGAATATAATTATGCTACATTCAAAGTAAGCTATGACAACATGCAATTTATTCGGGAATCGCATCTTAAACGACTATCCGATAATTTCAAGGCCTACGTAGAAAATTCTTCTTTTGTTTTAAAATAACTAAAGTTTGACAATGTCCCTGTATATTATATGGTTTTGGAATGAGCATTAACACTCTATTCACCTGTGCAAAAATCCAAGATGGCGTCCATAAGAAAAAATAGAGTTGATGCTATAGGAGATTAATCGGAACGTCATATTGAAATGCCGATTATACCTTCTTCTAGAGGAGATTTTTTATTCAAAGTTATTCAAATTCAAAAACCAATATAACTTACAAATTAAAAACAACCTTTAGTACAATTTAAATAAAAAAAAGCTTCAAAAATACATGAGCTTGTATGCTCTTGCTACCCTCAATAACCAAGATTGCAACAGAAATCTGAACAAAGATACTAGCATCAGATCTAGAACCAGCAAGTAACGGTATATGAATTGTGAAAATTTTGTATACTTTCGTAAAGGGATTGTCGTCACAAATCCTAAATTACGTGTCTTCATAAACAAATCTAAAATTCATAACAATAGAACAGAAGCATACTAAAAACACTCGAAAGTATAAATATAGAGTACATAAAATATGAATATCTGAAATATGATAATAGAGTGATATTTCGAGTAAGGTCAAACTATGTTGTTTAAACAATAAAAATTTTACGTAAAGGTTAAGCAGAGAAACAAGAGTACTACAA